GCAAGGAGGGCTGCAGGCAGCGTAGGGTTATCACAGTCATTTATTTCTAAAAGACTGACCAGGGTGTGGTATTCAGGGCTGTGGGTGGAACCTGGATTTCTGGGTGTTTTCCTGATTTATGATTGGAAATACTTAAAAAGTAATTTCTGTTTTGCAGAAGAATAGCTATGTCATCTTCCTGTGAATAACATGGGGTGTTCACATCTCCATGGCAATTGGAAGTGATAAAACAAACAGATGTTCTGCTGCTCTTCTACAAGGAAAGTCCTGTGTTGGTTTGAGATTTAGTGCCCGTGGTGCACGTATATCCCGTTGCATTCACATTTCTCAACCCCACAAAGTCTGCCATGGGTACACTATAAATCGTGGGAGAAACCATCACAGGTCTGAAGAGAATTATAGCTGAAACATTCTATAGAGTTTTGTTTCAAAAATATTGGAGAAGGCTTTGGGAATAAGGCATTCCAACTCTTTCTTTCCATCTACCTTAATCCCATCTTCAGCTCTGATTTCATAGCCTAATTCCTTTTCTCTTTCAGCAATAGAAGTGTCTGAAATTCCTCCTTCCTCTGCCTCACTCACTCTCTATAGTAAAGTAGCCCCTCGAGGAAGAATACATATGCTGAATACCACCTCTGCCCAATGCAAACATGTTATTTTCCTCCGTGTTTTTATGGACGTGCACGCGCTCATACGCATACCCACCCCACCATGTCAGGAAGTCATAGGAGACCACAGAAGTCAAATGAATTTGGGCCTTTTATTGAACAGATGTCAGAATACATTGGCTTTCCTGGTGCACCTTTCTTCCTGCTGCCCCTCCAGTAGGGCTCAGGGCAGTATGGGGGGGCTTGGGGACTGGGAAAGCACTGCGTAGATTTCAGTTAGCACTGGTTATGCTGTGAGTGGTGATGGAGAGGAGGGGAGTGTTGCTACTAAGCCAGTTTGTCCCTGTTGATGTTTCACTGTGCCATCTCCATGCTGCACACAGGCTGGGCTTTGCTGCTCCCCGAGCAGAGGAAGCCCTGTGGGTGATGCAGGGACTGGCTGGGGGCTGCAGCAAGAGCCTCACTGGTGCCTCCAGGCAACTGCTGACACTTGGGGTGTCCGTGGGTTTGGGGAGCTGTCAGAATGGCTCTCACAAATTGTAGGGAAGAGAGAATTTTATCCTTGAAGAAACAATAGCGAGAGGTACTGCAAGCACATTCCCTACACTTTCTGTCTTTCCAGTACCCTTTAATTTCAGATGATTTGTTCCAAGTTGTTTTTGCTGAGATAATTATAAGGTATTGGGGTTTATCATCGTCCTGGATGACAACCGTACCAGGAAAAGCAATGAATAAGAGCCCCATCAGCAATTACCATTGGGCAGGTTTGTCCCTGAGCCCCCATCCCCGAGCCCAGCTGTCTGCAGTTGGCAGGCCATCTTATTTAAAGGCTGCTCACACACTCAAATATTTCTTTCTCTAGGAATTTGATGAAAGTGAACGTAATTAATTTCCACATTTCTAGCGAGCAGTTGAATTATTTTTGTACTGCATTAGCTAATAAAGCACTCAAGATGGAGAACTGTTTGCTTGGCACAGCAATAATATGTTGCTCTTAAAACATGAACGTTCATCCGAGGGCCACAGAAGATTTTGCAAAGGTGGGTGGGTTAAGGGTTGGTATGTGTGAGAGCAGATATGTATGAGGGCCATCTGGCTGTGGCACGTCGGTCACAGCCTGCTGTCTGTGCTGCTGTCACAGCTGGTTCCGGCTGGGCTGAAAGCTGACTCTCACCAAGGAAATATGGTAACTCCCAGACCTCTGCGTTCCTTAGAGCTGGTTTAAAGAGTCCGAAACCATTCGTTCTGTTTTATTCTCCCCACTGCCCTCATAAAAGTGGACATTTCTTGGGTCTGCTTTCTGTTTAAAAAAAAAAAAAAGCCATACAAGCAAACAAAGTCCTTTGGCTTCAGTTGGCTGGAGGTCTTCTTAGGGAGGTCTGGGAGGGAACTGATTTTCTTGAGTGGTTTCAATTTCATTTCTGAGCTGAAAGAAAATAAATGTTGAAACCTCCGTTTTATTTTTTTTATTATTTTCATAAAACATAATACCGTTCTTTAGCCAACCCTAAGTCTACAAAAACAAGCAAAACCTCATGTGGTCCAATCTTGGGTGCTAAGGAAAACCCCTTCTGACGGGGGGAGGAGACATGGCCCATGGCCTGCAGGAGCACAGGGAAAGGTCAGTGCTGGGTTGCTGGAGAGGTTTTTCCCCTCCAAGAAAGCCCAGTGAGAGGCTCACCAGCCCTGGATCTCTTCCTCTTATCCGAGCCATAATTCAGACCCATCTCTCAGAAGTTCCTGCCCCTTATGAAAGCTCTTTGGCTGCTGTCCTGTATGTCAAGGGCTGGTTCCTGCTTGTTCTTCTGATTGCGAGCTGCAAAACCTCTTCATGATGGCTTGGGTGATTGGTCTCCTGCATTTCCCCTGGTGCTGCTCTCTGCTCTCCCCTTGTACCAGCTGAACCTGGCTTAGCTGCTTTTTTCCAGCTTCTGAGATGCTCTTTCCGCTCCAGTGCATGAGAAATTTGACCACACACATTGAGAAATCACCTCCCTGACTCCTTCCCTTGCAGGCAGATTGGCTGGGTGCAATCAATGGACTCTTTCTGCCTTCCTGACCTGCCTGCAGCCAGGAAACATCAGCAGCGAGGTGTGCCAGGCACAGAGCAGTGCCCAGAGCCCGGCTGCACCGTGTGTTCTTCTCCCTCCCTGATGCTCACTGTGCCTGTATTGCCCTACAGCAGTACACACAGCTTGCTACAGACTGATGGCCACATTCTCTTTATAATAAAGGCTTAAAAACGTGTCCTATGTGGAACTGTGATGCTGCTTAAGCTCACACATAATATTTAATCTTCAGGGCGTGCTGTTTTCATTTGCTGTATGTTTCAAAGGGAAAACTGCATGGCTCTGCCCAATACAAAACAACAAACTGTAGCACTCTGATGGGAAATCGTTTCCAGTTTCTTTTCATCAAGTGAGATGAATCCAGCCCTGAGCAACCCCTGTTGCCTCCACTCGCCCATCCCTGAGCAATTGCGTAACAAAGCGCTCAGCACGCAGTGATTCCCACAGTGAGAAGATAAGGGAGTATATCGCATTTGGTTACGAAAGCAGCAGTCAGTTCAGAGATTTAGACTTACGAGCAGCTGTGAGTATGGAAATAAAACAGACCTCTTTCAAAATATACCTTAAGATCCTTTGCCAAACATCTATCCTTATTCACCTTAGCCTTTTTAATTAAAAGGGAGCAAATTCCATCATTACGATCCGCTGACTGTCAGTAGGAGAGGGAACATCTGCCCTGTTTAACCCAACTCTCAGCAGGATTTTCCCAAAATTCCTTTTTATAGGCTTTAGCTTTATTAATACTATAAATACAACAAATTGTATCAGTTCAAATATCCACCACATTTTATTCCAAATGAGCAGGACACCTGGTTTTTAATAACCGTGGGTGTAAGCCATGGAGGGGAAATCTTTATGAAATGCAGTGAAATTTTAATGAAATGCCACGTAGTGACTGGAAGTATTGCCATTAACTTTGCTGGAATCGGCTTTTGCCTTCCAACTGCCATCCCTCTCTCCACACACAGGGACGATGTGTGCCTCCTACTGATACCTACCCAGCCTGGCCATGCCATCCCTTCCTTTCCATCCATATGTTCAGCAGCTGTCCCACACCTGTGCTCACTCTATTTGCTTTCCTCTCCCTTGCTTTGCTGAATTACAACTCTGAGTATCTCCCAGCCAGCCTCTTGCCTAGGCTGCAACTACACGGGAGCTCAGGTGTGAGGCTACATCTGAGTGCAAAGACCAGCATAACCATTTTGGTGTCTAAGCTTGACAGTAGCACAGCCACTGATGTGTAGCACTGCAACTGAGGTGGGCAGGAGGACTTAGAGCCATGCCATGCATCAGCCGGTGCAGGATTCATTCCCCCGTCCCATCACAGAACTGTGGTCCCCACTTCCCCCTGCTTCCTTCTCTCTCTCCTTCCCTCCTTCTCCTCTCTCTTGCAGGCAGCTGGTTCTAGTGCAAGAGCCAGCTTACCCTATCTATAGTGGATGCTGCATGGTGTAAGCCTGACAGGTGTTAACTGTCTTTCTTGGACTTAGCATTGCTTCCAGAGATTCCAGTTTGTTCAAGTTGCATCCACTGAAAAGAGTTCTTTCACCTCCTCAAGAACTCAACAGTTACCACCAGCCAGGGTGCTTGTTAAAATGGAGAGAGAGAAAAAAAGATGCACCATCATTAAGAAATAGAGGTTATAAAAGCTGACAGGTTTGTGGGACAAATAGTTTCTTTGTACCCTGCAACAAAGCATGATCTGAATGACTTCCATCATCAGCAAAATGTTCATCATGTGGAGTGCAGGGAGACTTCAGTCTTCCTGTATAACAGCACATGTTGTTACATACACATAAAATGCTTGGCTTGGGTATTCTGTTTAGCTTGGTGTGTTTTCCAGTTTCCACTTCAGCCCTTGGAACTGACCCGTTCTTCACACCTGAAGCTACAGAAGGTCTGTGGACCAGTTCTGGACATGGAGAAAGGGGTAGGAGAAAGCTGGCAGGGAAAGCAATGCCTCCGGAGCCCAAAGGGTAATTATTTATGTACCAAAATGTCACTGGCTGGAGCACGGACTGGAACAAACCACAGCACTGAGAACTGCTTCATGTTGAGGAATGGGATTTCTCCAACAGGCGCTGTGCTCACGGATGGAATTTCCAAAATAAATGGAGCCCCTGCTCTGCCTGTTGTCCTGGGGCTCCGACCCATAGCTGCTGCAGCCAGTGGGAGCCTTTCCATCCACTTAAACACACTTCGGATGGAGTCTGAGGTGCAGAAACACTGGATTTTGTGCACAGAAAGTTAATTAGAAAAATTCTGTTGGCTACAGTTGTTACCGTCTTGCATGTTTGTGGATTTGTCTGGCTGGACACATGGTCAGAAGAAAGAACTGGGACTACAAACATCCTCCCCTGGAGAATTTACTTCTCTTATTCCCATCTGACCAAACCACCAACCTCAACAAACATCTTGACACCAGACTCTTTTCTAACATGTTTGCTAATCTGCAATGGTAATGAGAGCAGAAGGGCCTGAGTCCATTGTTACTGGTGAGGAAAGACAGCGTGTAAATCAGAAGCAAAATCTGTTTGAAGAACCAGAGATGAATCCATCTTCCCCCTAGAAATCTTTCAGCTTGAGATACAATCCACTGCCTGGGGCTTGGGGGGCTTGGATCCTTGCTTCAGTTTGGCCACGAGCCCACTGGGTGATCAGGGCAATCCACCTCTGGGCTCTGTGTTTCACCAGAGACATCTGAAATGCTCCACAATCAGCCATTTCCTGGCAGCCCTGATGCTTCACAGCTCGTGGGTTTTTCCTTAACACTCCTGCGCTCTCTGTAGAGAACTCTTGCAACACTGCAGTTCTGAGGGCACAGCTAGAAGTCGATCCATGTGTCTCCAGGCTTTCCCTCCAAGCCCTGTGTGTCCGCTGACAAATCCTTCACTTGTGCCCAGTTTTACACCCACGTCATCCGCGGTTATGCATCTATCAGGAGAAATGGTTTCTTACTGCAAAAAATAAAGTAAAATAAAGAAATAAAATGAATTTATGATGAAATAATGACCGTGCTGGTGAAGCAGCCCTTAGTCAGAGAGCTGAGCTGCGGGTGTTTGTTACTCATGGTGAACACAGCCTTAGCTTTGTCAGTGCATTTCCTTGCCCAGGAGCAAGCAGAACAAGGATGCGGCCCGTACACCTTCAGCTGCAGCCATGGAGCTTCACCTCTCAGTGCTGGACTTGGGTTTGCCCAGTGCTCATGGCTGAGAGAGATCCAGTTCTTCTGTTCCTTGGGCTTTGGCAGTGACGGTCTGAGGTATTAATCTGAGATCTGTGCACCGAACCTTTGATCGCCCTGAGCCAATGAGGAGCTGCGGTTAATTTTAATCCTCTGCATGTTCCAATGCAAATCCAGAAATCGGCATTAGTATATTTTGCTGGCATCGCCAAAGGATTGTGAAACAGGAAATTAAGAGCACAATAACTTAAACAAAATCTTATGAAGAAGTAATAGCAGTGAAACGGGTAATGAGTCAGAGTGAAGCTGGGCTGCTCAGAGGAGGCTGTGAGAGCTGGGTACCCATCCAGTGGGATTTGGGACCTATTGCCTCTTATGTATCTGGAAAATTCCAGCCTAAAGCAGTTGCTAACATTCTATTGCAACTTTATATCTTCATAGTAAAAACTCTCCGCAAAATTGGCTTTCCTCTTTTGCTGAGTCCCAGCTCGAGCCTTTGCCTGGAGGTATTCCTGGAGTCTATTGACTGCAGCAGAGGATGTGCTTCTGTGCTGCACCAGAGGAATGGAGGCTGAAGGTCTTGGTCTCCCCCGAGATGCAGAGTTTGTCTCAGGTTTTGGATCCTCCATGTTCTGCTCATACACTGTCAGTCGATCACTGATGTCAGTCACTGCACTGAACCTGCCACGAATACTATTTATGCATGACAGTTACCCTACTAAATTACTTGCAAAGATTTAATAAGTGATAGATGCTATCAAGAGGAACAGGTGTCACGAGTGACTATACTCATATGAACAATACATAACAAGTCATAAAAGAATAATTCTGTAACAGCAGATTAATCACCATTAGCCCTCTCTGGAATATTTATAATTGGAATCAGGTCATTAATTTTCTGCCTACAACCAGCAGCAGGTTAACCAGGCACTTCCAGTGCTGTGCTGCACCTCTGAGGTCTGTGCTTACGTGGGGCTGACACAGCACTGCTGAGAGCTCTGTGAGTTGGGCTCCTCCACCACCACCACCATCAGGGGACATCATCCTACCTGGACATGCATAAAAAGACCCAGAGCATTTGCCAGCCTGTGGGCTGGTCAGGTCCATGGGGAACAGGCTCTGGAGCTGTAATGTCTGTCTTTCTTATAGCAATCTGTCTGTAGAGTCTGGGATTATGTCTGAGCCCATGGAACTGAAGAAGTTACTGTGTGTCTTTGTATTTCTGTGTGTCTGTGTGTCTGTGTTTGTGTCAGCCACCACCGGAAACTCAGCATCTGGAATCGATTGTGCCACAGTCATCCTGAGCTGAGCTGGAAGCCAGAAGAGCTTCAGCCTGCATCGGTGCACTTATTTCCTCCATGCCTGTGGGATTTTTAAAGCACAGAACAAACCAACCCTCCCCAAGCCCCGAAATGAACAGCTCTAATCTTCACAGGTTGACTTCATTCATCAGTTCTAAGGGTCAAATTTTGACCCTTCCATTCGTGTTGGATAACAGGCATTGCAGGGAAGGCTTGCTGCTCCTGCCTCACCCAAAAGTGCTCAACAGTCCCAGAATCACAGCAGCCCCCCAGCAGGGCTGCCAGAGTGCTGGCTATTCCTCTGCTTGGTCAAGGACATGCAGCCACATTTCACCTCCTTCCATTGCTCACAGGAGGTGGTAAGACCACGGAGGAAGCTGCAAACTGCCGCTCTAGAGCCCTGTGTCTCCCTGATGCGCATCACCTCTGCAAGGCTTTACAGCACTGTAAATCTGGGAATAAATCATTCATCCTCTGGCACAGCCCCCTCCTGGGTAATGCCACATTGTGTGGTGCAGCTGAACCACGCTGCTCACATGGCTAGAAAGCCCCTTATTTCTGTACCAAAATGATTCTTACATGGCTCTTTGCCACAGGCACTGTCTTTCCCACGTGTTTACAGAAGGTGACCAGCATCCATTGTCACTGCTGCAGACAGAAGATGTCAGTTCTCAAAATGCATCCTTGAGGATGGGAATGGTGATGTGGGCAGTCAGTACTCCCCTTTCCTGCTGCTGTTTTGCCATTTCCATTTTCAACACAAACTCTGTGTTTTCTCGTTCTCTAGGGAAAATAATTGAATCAATGGTTCCTTGTTAATCCCTATTTCATGTGATCATAGAATATCTTGAGTTGGAAGGGGTCCATAAGGATCACTGAATCCAACTCCTGGAATTCCCTCCAGTTTCTTTGACTCTCCTGGTGATACCAAACCAAAGGCTTTAATGAGGTCCTGGAGCTGAGATCCTTTAGAAAATTGCATATCAAGGAAAGATTTTGTTACTGTAACTGATGCTACCTTTGATAACTTACAGTTGGGCTTTATTCTGGTTTTCTACATCTGAATATAGAGTGAGATGTCAGACGCACTTGGGTGGTGTAATGTGCAGTGTGTGAAGGCAGTGATGCTGAGCTGAATAAAGTTAATGGGAGTTTTGTGGGAGATGTAATGGCCATCTTCCAGAAGAAGCATAAAATATCAGGAAACTATGTTTGGAGCAAATAGAAACCTCCTCAGCTTTTTAAATGCAAGAAAAGAAAAGAAAAGGAAAAAAAAAAGGCATAATAATCTGTATTTTTCCTTGTAGTTTTCCTTGATACCAGGAAGGCTTTGGGTCTTAGCAGGATAAATGAAACCAGGGCTAGTGAAGGAGAACCTCCCCTGAAGTCTGCTGTTTCTGCCTGTCTCACGCTTTCTGCTCACCTTTCCTTACCTTCTCTCAGTAGCCACCAAGCTGAGGGGTTTGCTGCCAGCTGGTGGAGAGCAAAGGAGGCTTCTGCAATGAAAAACGTGAGTGCTCTTATTTCAGAGCACTAAAATAAGAAGCAGGAGGCTCTGTCCATGTACAATCAACCCATGGTGGGACTTGGTCTGCCCATCTCTCATTAGAGCTGCATTGCCCCAAGGAGATGGGACAGATGCAGCTCCCCCACATTGGATGCAGTGTAAGACTTTGAGCTCTCAGCATTGTTTTGCTGCTTTGGATATCCAAGCTCATATTGGATTAGATAATGTGGGTTATGGGACACTGTCTCCTGTGTCTCATGCATGCTGCTCTCTGTGCCTGTCACTCTGGATACCCTCCTAAGCAGCAGCAAGGCACCTGGAGGGGAGAGCGTTGGCCTGGGGAAGGATGAACTGCACAGGAAAACCAAACACCTCTTTCTTTGTAGGTACCAGGGTTTGCTCACATGTCCTCTTCTACCCTGGTCTTGTATATACAAGAGCATGTGAGAGCTTGTCTCACCTAATAAGTGAAGACCCAAAGGGACTGTTCAGCTCACAGGACTGAATTTCAGTCTTTTACAAAGATGCAGGAGAAAGCAGCTCTGTCACCAGCTCTGCATTTGGCTGGCTGTTCTGTGGCTTTGCCATATGAGTATACCCAAGAACGTGGGCTTTTTTGGGTAAAATTGTGCTGCAGTTTACAGGGACAGATCAGCTAAATCTCAACACTGGGAGTGTTGTATGAAACTAAATAGCAGCCCGCTATATTTTTTACTGTATTGCTTTCCAAGGGCACATGGGAATAAAATGCCCCTCAGTGATTTTGTGATTCAAATACTTTTCAGCTATCTCTCCCCTCGATTCTGCCACTGAATTTGTGCCAGACTGCAGCTAATGTGTGATCAGATAGGGATGTTTAAACTGAGGAAACAAAGAAACCCTGGTGATTTATGAAGGGGTACAGATTTTCACTGCATATGAATCTTGACAACGTATGTTATGTCTACATTCAGCAACAAATCTGTTATCTCCTGGCCTCAAAAACATGCCACAGATGCAAGTCATAGAAAAACAGCTGCTACAAAAGGAGATGTGTAAGTAGTTACCAGCAAAAAAGTCCACAAATCTAAACAAATGTGAACTACTATGATGTCTCACTGCTTACCACAACAGAGAGAGCAAATCTGTTTTAGAAGGCAAATGTTGCAGAGCATCAGTCCCCAAATCAGGAACATCCCAGCAAGACCTCCCACAGCCACAAGGAAACGAGGAGGGACAAAAGGTCAGGGCAGGCAGCACTACCTGTGCTGCATGGCCAGGTCTGAAATCCCACAGTGTGCCAATGGTTAAACCACTTCCATGCTCACACTGTCCCCAGTTTAGCATCACCGCTGCAGGCTGATGACACCATCAAAGCGAGGTGTCCCAGAGATGGTTTTAACTCCCCTATCCCAATTGCTAAATTGCATATCATTGCAGGAGGAGCTAGGTCTCAATTAAAAACCCCATGGATTGTAACTTGGCCACTGGGAGCACTGCCTGCTGCAGACTGAGGCAGGGGTTGTTAGATCACAAGAGCTTCCATGCAAATATGTGGCTAGAAAGAAAGCAGAGCCTCAAACATGCAGAAATTGGAGTTCTCTCAATTATGGGGTATCTCTGAAAAGTTTGATTTGACACAGTTGGCTTTTGGCCATAAAGTCATGTCAGTGGAAAACAAGTGCCAGAGAATGAGGTCTTTGACACTGTACCTGTTAGATGATAGATCTTCAAAGTGAGACAAGAACTGGACTTCATATACGTTCATTATGAAGTGTTATAGAATGGATGATGCATTCTGAGTCTTGGTTCTTAAAATCTCCTGGCTGTGCACTGAGGAGCTTTCTGCCTGAATCTTTGTGGGCACATGAAGTTTACTAGTGGGTGCAAAAGGAGATGCAGTAGAGCATTTTCTCCTGCTGAAGTATCCACTGCATTATAAGTCTGTAATTGCTCAGCCCTTTGCACTGTAAAAATAAGAGACCATGAAAATTTGGAGTAAAGCTCCCAAGCTCCCCAAAGATGCAAAAATGGAAATAACACATTCAAAAGTTCATCCTCAGCAGCCAAACTCTGATCCAGCACAGATGTAGCCGAATACTGTAGATGGGGATTATCATTTTATATATTGCTTCTCTTCCTTTATCATTCCCTACATTTTTATGGGCTAGCCATGTCTTGTTTTATGTATGCACGTAAATACATATGTAAATGAATAGAATTGTGCAAAGTCTTTTTGTGATATCAATAATGGGATGTTTTCATCCCAGGGTTAGATGTACAGCATAATAAACTGCATGCTTTCAAATTTTGAGTATTATACTATTTCCTAATAATAAAAGTATGTAACCCCAGTTTATTGCTCTTCATTTAACAGAGGAAGTCAGTGTTTATTTTGCATGTCTGAAAAATACAAAATTAATTAAAGAAAGGACTGTTGGAATACGGACTCAAGAGCTTGTGCATGAACTTAATCACACACGTGGGCAAAGCCCCCCTGGAAGATCGATTACATTGCCCGCTGAGAATGATGTCCAAATCTATTAACTTCAACACAAATAGCATCTGGCCCAAACTCCAAATGCTCAGATGGCCTCTCCAGGCTATGGGTTGGCAAGAAGCTTCCAGCATCTGCTGCAGGATCCTGTCTTGTTCTGCTTACAGAACTGCTCCTTCCACAACAGCCCACATGTCTGAGGACCCCCTGCTGCAAAGGGCAGCCAGCTGGACCCAGGGACCCAGTGCTGCATAGCTTGGATCCTTCAAATAATTCATCCATCCTTTTGGTATTTATTTTATTGTATTTGTGCCATATACAAGAGGGGAAAAAAGTCACATTTGAGAATGGCATTTTTTTTCCTTGTAACACAGGAAGATGATGGAAATTTGCAAAGTGTTGCTAGGTATTTTCCACTTGCAAATACCGCTCGTTTAACTCCCCAGTGTTGGTTATTAAAAATGTCACTGACATTTTAACAGGCCTTGTTCTCGTAGTTCTCTGTCTGATTTTTAACATGTGAAAAATAAAAAGTATTTTCTTGGGACCATTGAAGGCAATGACACAGTTTTGCAGTTGTGTAACTTTCAGTGCTGTTTAGGCACAGCCACTGTCAGATGAAAAAGACATTAGGTAGCGCAAAAAGCCACACTGGACTAACCCATGAGGATGGCCTGTTCCACTCCCCTACCACAGAAGACTTACGTAATTTCATGGTAAAACCTTTCAAACTACGTGTCATACTTTGTTTTTCAATTTCATAGACAGTGATGTAACTCCAAAAGCAATGATTAATGAAATATCATTCATCCCACCCAACTCAAGAAATGTCAAACTGCTCCAAGCCTTGCTATTAGACTGAAAATATCTCCACAAGAGCTCCTGCGATGCCCTTTCTGTGAGAAACATGCCATCTGGTCCTATCTGCCCCAGGAACTTTCACAGAACATGACAGGGATGCTCCAGGGACACCTGGAGAGAGATTCAAGCCACTCCAGTTGGGTAAGCGGTTCCTTGCTCGATATCCCAATTCATTGCATCTCCTAGTTTTTGAGGTCTTAAAAAAAAAGAAGAAAAAAAAAAAAAAGAAAAACAGATTTGTGTTGTCTTACGCAAAGTCAAAGCTGAAAAGAAAATACCAGAAGAGGTAATAAATGGATTTGGGAATGTCCCTTCTTGTGGAAGGGTGACCATCACGTCTCAGGCATCAGAGACTGTCTCATGACTACTCTGGGAGGGGTGCATGAACCCCAGCCCAGGAGTTCTCATGGAAACCTCCGAAGTTCTCTGCTCAGCTTCATCATCTCTCATCTCAATAAAGTTAAAATATCATATAGAACAGGATATCATGCAGTACAGCATCATTTTTAGAGCTAGAATTAGAATGGTTCTATTGGAAGGGACTTTCAAAGATCTTTGAGTTCAACCGCCCCACCACTGCAGGGCTGACTAAGAGTTACAGCCTCTTACTGGGGCATTGCCAACCAGTCCTGAGCACAGACAGTCACAGAGCATCAACCAGTTCTCAAGGAAGCCTGTTCCAGTCATTGGCCACCCTCACAGTAAAGAATTTCTTCCTAAAATCTAGTCTAAATCTCCCCTCTTCCAGTTTAAAGCCATTTCCTTGTCCTGTTGCTGCGTGCCCTTATGAAAAGTCCCCACCCAGCTTTTTGCAAATGTAAAGCAAGGATGCTGTGTGAAATGCAGCCACCTCCAGGGCTAAGGACATGAACGGTGGCTGTCTTAGATAACCTTGGGGGCTGTCACTTGCCATGCTGGAGAGCTGGCTGCTCTGCAGTCCTCTTCTTCTCCCTTGAAGGGAGTAATAGGAGATGTCCTTCATCGGTGTGCTAACAGCAATACAAACAGAGTATCAGCATGTCAGGTTGATACAAACTGAGGGCCTGCGGAGGCACAAATCCCTCCAAGCAGTGATACAATTCTGGACAATCATTAGGGTGATTCTGTGGGATCAAAGTCAGTGCAGAAATGCCAACAGCACCCCATGGACAGCGGGGTCTGCAGCACCCAGCCTGGGTCACGTCCAGGTGGGAAGGGGGCTGAGCAGACCCCTCACACACCATGCTGATGGTGTGAGATCAACATGAGAGAGAACTACCACAGCAGAGAGAGAACTACCAAACTGCTCTGCTGAGTTTGGTAGTTCTCTCTCTGCTGTGGTGGCTGCTGGGCTCTCATCCCTCATGGCAGAGTGAATCTGACATGAATTCAGTGGGCAAAAATGCCTTGTGCAAGCATGCAAGTTGCTGGGATGAATAATTTTTCTAACCAAGAAGTGACAATTATTTCTTCACCCACGGGATCTTTGTCTGCTCTCCCTCCAGGCAGCAGCATGAACATTTATGTTCTGGTATTCCTCCCAAGTGCTTTACAGTGACATGACAGAAATGAGAAACACCTTGGATTTCATTAACCCTTAGGTACAGAAGGCATGAAAAAATAAACTGAATGTGAAGAGGAATGTCTTCAACACCTTCATCTCTCTAGAAGCATTTCTCGTTCTCACTGAGCAGTGCTGTGTGGGCAGCCCATGGTGCTGAGCTGAGGGCAGAAGTGCTCCTCATGGGGTCACATCACCACGAAACCAAATCCCAAACATCCACTGAAACTGTGAGTGGTGACCGAGGGCAGAGACACCAAAGGTCCAAAGTGACTCTTGAGGTCCATTGTCAGTTAATCCTTACTACATCACATTGCTGCGCTACAGGCACAACTAAGTTGCTTGCTCACCCTCCATCATCACGTCTTTAAACATATATGAGTCTAAAATCACTCTTTATTCCCTCAATAAATTTAATAAACTCTTTCCTTAACAGAGAATGATTTTTCTAATTGTTCTGCAGCCTGCATAATGAAAAATGCTGTAGTGAGGCAGAAAATGCTGCAGCAGCTCCTGCTCATAATTAAAAGCACATTGTGGCAGAGCCCTGCGGACTGGCTTTGGGGGTGGAGGCGAGGGGCTCCCTGGCTCTGCTCACAACTATGATTCAAATAAGTCATTTCCAGGGTAAACACATAAATCTGTCCTTCTTGATTGGAATCCAAACAATCAGAAGTATTCCTCCTTGCTTTATTCAAAACGTCTCTGCTGCTACTGAGGAAAGAAATGGAGCGGATAAAAACAAACACCCTTTGGTGGAAGCTGAGAAAGAAAACATTCAGTGTACACTTTCAGATGGCCACCGAGTAACTTTGCTCCGAGGCTCAAGTTCTGGCTGCTGCTGCTGCTGCTAAGAGCCCTGCCTCACCGGTGGTGTCATGCATGCACTGTTGTTGTTGCTGGGACTGCTAGGATTAGATGTTAGAATGGATACTCTGGAGAAAAGGCAAAACAGATGGGATAGAAAAAAAAAAAGTTAACAATTCTTCCCCTGCAGCAAATATGGTTTAACTAATGTGCGAGTCTGGATTTGTACAGAAAGCAGAACTTACTATCGCATCCTGTTTCTGTCAGTGTGCCCTGCTTTCCTGTTGAAGATGGCTCGGCCAAAAGATCAAGAAGAAAGTGCTTTGTATGAGGGTCAAAACTGCTGTGTAATCTGCAGTATCAGACTGAAGAAACAATTCTGGTTGGTTCTGCATTGCAAATGAAGGCCGCTGACCTGTCCCAACAGCAGCTCTCCCTGCCCCACAGCCTGGCTCTGCGTATGCAGGCACTGAAGGTGACACTGTACCTGCTGGTTGTATGAAAAGCTTTCCTAGTGCTCTTTATGCTGTCTTGTTCGAAGAGTTTGTTCTTTTTGTTATCTTGAAGACCTTTTTCTGCAAAGGGAGTGATGATTGTAGAGATTTGCTGGACTTATAAAAACAGACTGGATGTTACAGAGGTGTTTTCCTCTGGACAGTGATTCAAGCTGAGCAGCTGAAAATGGTGACCCTTGAAATCACCTCTCTAGGATCTGTTTCTAGAATCCATTTCTGCTGCAGAACCAAAAACTTTTCATCATTCTCTACTGAGGCGATACATCTTTTGTTTGCTTTTGACTGTCTTCACTGGAAACACCGAGAACAAAACATAACATTCAAATCAAGTCATGACCTCCAAATTGTGACCATGCAACCAGGCAGCTCATCTTCTCCATGTCATCAGCTGGATTCTCCCCTGAGGATCTACAGGCAATCACCCCTGAAAGTAATTTTCAAGTATATTCACTCAAGTCTGTCTGTTTTTGTCATTACTTCATAGGACTTTGATAGTTCTGTACTTTAATCTTTCCAACTGGAAGAACCTATCCATCAG